CCCCCCCCCCCCCCCCCCCCCCCCCCCCCCCCCGCCAGTTGAGTAGGACCATACAAAATGAAGTGTATTGTACTTCTCGTGTATTTCAGTCGGATCCGGGTTGAGGAGATTATCGCAAAACCCAAACAAAGTGTCAGTCGATCCGGGAAACTACCTTACGTCACGAGTCATTTGGTGACGGGTTCCAAATGGGACAGGCCCTTTTAGGTTCAAGGTACTGCTTAGACCTCATCATCATGCGTTGCAGTTGTCTGGAGGGTGTCCTTTGTTATTTTAATTTAGTAACAATGAAAGCGTAACAATAACAGTTTACGTATGCCAAAATGTGTTCGCGATATATAGATACGGCGCCGGACTTTGGGCTATACCGGATACAGGATCATTTGCATTCGCAAAAGTACATCTAACCTACCGAATCATTGCCAAAAAATATTACTTGAATTTAAATCGTACTGGTACTAATCACCCCGTGAAATTATTCCGTTTGACTTGTCATTGAAGAAATCATTCAAGACATTCCAATGATCTGATCGTCGGTATGGAAAAATGAAAAAGAGTGTACGTGTTTCGTGATCAAAAGGTTTATGTTTGTTCACTGTTTTCTCGAAATGTGTAATATCTGATCTGACACTAAATTCAACAGGTGGGGGACCAGGTTTTTGAACGTTCTTCTTTGGACTGTGAGTGGTAACTGGAAACGAACATGATACCCAGCACGATATGGGACGGAGGGGTATACCCCCCCCTTCTCCATATATACCCTTTGCAAACCTAGACTATTAATTGCTCACCGTACAGATCCCCTAGGTATCTCAAAAGAATTCCTGAGATTCGACCCATATCGCGCTACGTTATGTGTCATTGTGTTACCAACCAGAATCTCAGGAATTTTTTTGAGATATGGGGGGGGGGGGGGTGCTGGGTAACAATAATACAGTGTGTATAGGGTAATAGGGACATTGGGGGGGGGGGGACTTGTGTCACACAACATGCTGATATAGAAAAGCAAATGATCCTATAGGACTTTTCACAAAATGCGCAAGGCTGCAGGGCATGGCGTAGACACCGGCGTGAATGACAGGACACTTGAAACCTCTAAAAAAATCCAGAGCATAAACACAGCCTTCATTTTGTTTCATCAAGCTCACTTCCTGTTGAAGATACCATTTATCTGGGATTTAAAAACTGTATCAAGTTGCTGGGTCATTAATTTCTCGAATGACGCACGCTTTCCCAAAATTTCAAGGATTATCTTAATCACAATTGAATGTTGATACTGTGATCAAATAATGCTATTGTGATTTCGAGTACATCCGTCATCCGCATGTTTAGCACGGGGGTCATATTTTGACCTTAAAAGTCTGAGTGCCGTTTTTCTAGGATTTCAACCCGGATACATCTTAAGGGTTTTTCTTCTGATACTCGACGGCTGCTACGCTTGCACACAAGTCCGGGATAAACCACAACAGGATTTGGCGACAGTATAAAAGAGGGGAACGGTCCCAGTACACGATCACACTGTGGAGAAATTGCTTGTCGTACAGACCTGTAAAGGTAAGAATATTTTCTTGTTCATTTTTGGCAAATTGAACACGTAAAACAAAATCACTTACAGAATGTCACATTGGAAGGACATCTTGAATGTTAAATAAGACTTTAGTGCATGGTGGACATGATCAATGAATGGTAGGTTTGCGGTAACACCGTGCGAATGAAAGATATCTCTTAGTCAAGGGAGGATTCAGAACACAATTTTTTGCCGGGGGGCCAAAAAAATGTTGGTCTCCAAAAAGTGGCCGGTGTACAAAAATTACGGCGTGGGGTTCGGGGCCCGGTTAAGAGCCCCCGATTGTTTGTGGGATTCTAGATGAGTGCGATCTGAGGCAATTATTCATGACCATTTTTGGAGGAAAAGATGGTGGCGTACGCAGTCACTTTAAAAAAAAATGGGTTCGGTTGGTGTTATTTTTTTTGTGGGGGGGGGGGCATGGCCCCCGTTGCCCCCCCCCCCCCCCCCCCCCCCCCCTGGATCCACCCTGGATCCACCCTTGCTCTTAGTGAATTCTGTCGGTTTAACTCGACGTTTCGAACATTATGATCTGCTCGTGACCAGGAGACTACTTGATAAAAAAAAGAGGCGGGGGTGAATCGATGGTTTTATCTTCTCAGCACCTCTTAGCCTGGACATATACTAGGTTTCACAATGGTACTTTACAAGTGAACATGTATGGTAACATTTGCGAAATTTTCTCAGAATATTACAAAATTTCTGTTTGTAGAACGACTACCAAAGAATCAACATGCCTCTGTGCGAGCTGAACACCAACGTCCCTAGGGCTAAAGTGGACGAGTCCTTCGTCAAGGAACTTTCGCAGCTTGTGGCCAGCATTGTCGACGTCCCAGAGAAGGTAAGCGTTTTCACTCTATCCTGGTGGGGGTGTCATAAACCTCTTGTACTTCACCTATCGCCGTTTGCGAGTTCAGCCACATCTTTATATAGACGACCCTATAGAATTTGTGCACACTAAGTTTTGTTTGTCTCAGATTTTGCGCGTTCCGCTCCTATTTGTTTTTTTTTACGAAAGCTTGAATTGCCTTCCTCGATACCGCGTATTACCCGTGATAATTTATCACAACTCCCGGAATTCAATGATAATTCCTTCCTAGGCCCTGTGGAAAAAACGCGTCGGACGGAAAGGCACTCTAGGGCCATGCTGAACACTAAAGGTGAATTCAACTTTGCACACAAAAGTGGTGCGTTATTCGCAAAAGTTTTACGTTATTTGGCAAAACTGTTGCGCTATTTCGCAAAACTATATTGCGTTATTTTGCAATAGATGTTTTTTCTCCTCAACAATAAAAAATATACATTAACAGTGTTGATTGTTGAGGGGGAGAAACCCAAAATGTGTTCTTTCCGTTTGTGAGTGCTGGAAGGAGGGGGGGGGGGGGGGGGGTTTATATGGCGAGACACAATGTCCATCTCCTCAACTATTCCAAAATAATGGGAGAATCGCCAATTAGTTTAACATGCATATTCATATTCTATTTCGTCATAGGGAGTGACCCTGCAGGTGAACCCTGATCAGCTCATGATGAGAGCTGGGACACTAGACCCAGTGGTTACTGTGGCAATCACCGGATTCAGCACTAAATACTTCACGGATGCTATGAGGGAGAAATGGGTGACGTCACTCACAACTTTCCTGTCAGAGAAGCTAGGCATCACTGACCACGGCAGGTAAAGACAAAGTGCAGATTCTTTTTATTTTATGAGAAATGATGGTGCCGTATTCACATTGTTGGTTATCTACAAACAAATTATATAAGGATTTATGAACAGTTGAAAAGTACCGAAACTTAATTCCACACACAAAAAAGCTACTCACTCACGAATTAAGCCCCCCCCCCCCCCCCCCCCCCCCCACACACACACACATCTTATGCTGAAGAGAGCCTATTCGGTTCCGGGCCCTTTCTTCTTGCATCCCAAAAAGCCGGCAGAAGAGTCGAAATTGGAGCCTTGAAAAACTTAACACAGGGTTGATAATGCAACACAATTATTTCTGTTTAGACTAATTTCCTTGCCGAATCATCACCCAAAGTTACTCGAGCTCGAGTCAAGACGATCCATTTATAGCCCCGCCCATGCATACACTGCGCACGTACGTACGTCCATGAGCAACCTCAAGTGCGTTTACAGACGCGTCACACGTCGTAAGCGCACGCGTGCATGTTGGACACCATTCACGGCTGTGATTGGTCAAAACCGGTCAAAACATCATAAGGCGGAGCTTAGTGAATCGGTCTATTGAAACAATCTGCGATGTACTAAGGGTTCACACCTGTAAATTGGCCAAAACCCATCCGCCGAGCTCATGAATAATTGCATTTCTTCAAGCCATAAAACTGAAGAATTGATGAGATATGGCAATGATCCTCTGCATGGCCCAAATTGGGTCTTCCAAATCTGAGCATTTGGATGCAATTAGGCTCGAAAGTGGAGCTATTTTGCCATGTTGTGGAGGGATTGCTTTTCCAGATGGCTACTTTTCCGCTTTGGGAAAAATAGGGGTCGTCATCTTTGGATGAGAATATCTGGATTGACCATTCTCCAAAAATTTAAAAGAAAACGAAATATGACATGTTGATTGTCATTTTTTGTGTATTATAGCGCAAATACCTGTGAGAGTTCAAAGTATTTTTAAAAGAATTTTGAAGTATGAACGTTTAGCACTGGTGTCTATGGGAATTATCCATAATTGTTTCCCTCCCGTTTTGTTTGTGCTATATTGTTGCTATTTTAATTCGTTAATTATTTTTCACTGTTCATTTACAGAATCATTGTGGCCTTCCATTTCATTGAGGCAACGCACGTCGGATTCTTCGGCAAACTCGCCAGCAGCCAACTGAAATAATGTGTTTTTGTGTGTAATACTTTGGTTTACTGCGCTTCCAAAAATGCTAAAATTATATTTTAGAAAAAAACACCTGCACCACTCCAACTCCCAAACAAACAAATGACGATTGTGTAAATGAAACAGCTTGCATCAAATGTAGGTTTTCCTCTTCCATAATTATTCTTAAAAACGTGGAGCAGACGCTTGAATTTTTTTTATTGTTATTATTCATGGTTTATTAAAAACATTTCCATTGCAGCAAAAGGCTGAATTAGGGAAAACAATAGATTTGTTCAATTTACATAAAAAGTAGAATACCAAAAATTGGCACACAGCGTTAGACACAAAGAAAATTAAGAAGAGCGAGCCAACAATACAATTGTGAAAATATGTAGTTATACGTTCAGTTAAAAAAAGGTTATTTGTAAAAAGAGATATCAAAAGATGTAGAAAAAAAAAATAAATACTGAAAGAGTAGGACTAAACACTTTAGTGCAATGAATTTAATTGCTTTGCAGTGCCGCAAAATGTTCATAGACAAAATAAATAGATATCTATTGAGTTGTATTCAAAAGATTGATCAGATGTGGCACAGGACTGTTCTTAAATCTGGAGGTATTGCATTTGAGTTCAGTTAATTTTGTTGAGTTCCTCAGATTGTAGCCAGCTGTTGACCTCGTTTGCGGAACTAGACTCTCGAGTTTTATGAAACAAAATATAATTAGAGAAGTCTTCAAAGAGTGAGTGATATACAAAAAAATCAAAACAAGTGCTAACTGTGGCCTACATCGATGTTTATACAGACATGCAGGTTGACGTATAAAGTTATTTTACAATTTTGAAATTGCAGGGTTTCTTGTTAGTTAATTGTTTTTACAGTGAAATCGAGTTATTAATAAATTCTGCTGTACAACTATCTAAAAGAAATACATGTAATTTATATATTTTTGCCCAACAATGTCCCCAAACAGAAACCCTTGTTTTATTATTATTATTATTATTATTATTATTATTATTATTTATTTATTTAGCCATTCTGACAACATTATAAAGAAAGGCAAGGAACAGCAAAAGTACAAGTACTGTGGTCCGAGGACCTGCTGCACCGTTAAAACAAGCTAAAATAGATTTTAAAAAAATAAATAAAAAGCCAAAAAAAGCATATTAATACATAAAAAGCAAGTACATTATATATACATATATAAACAAGCACTAAAACGTTTTAAAAGATGAAACGATGATATAGGCAGATCAATGCTGAGTATTGGAATATCTCAACACATTGTGCATAGCTTTGGTGATTTTTTTTTCTCACTTTGTTAATACTTGAAAAAATATGGCATCACATCTCCACACTAAAAACAAGCAAACTGAATATTGGCTAGGCCCCTGATTCTGTGGCTTATACAAATATTGAAAAGCAAAGAGGTCAATGATAAAGTTGCTTGAATGGAAAGCCACATCGTATCTTTTTATTTGTTGTATTAGTCATCAAGAATAAAATGTAACTGTCTATCAGATAAAATGAAATATTATGTCACGTCAAAACATTATTTGTGTATACATTGTAGTTAATAATTTTGGATATGTTAAGCCCCATCCATAGCTGGGACTGTCCAAATTATAGTTGGGACTGTCCCAGTTATAGTTGGGCCATTGTTATAGTTGGAGCATAACAAATATAATAGGAGTTTTGTAAACTGTAGTCGTTGAACATTTTCATATCTTTAATAAAAAGCAAGTTGAAACAGAAAAAATCTTGGGTATTGGGCTCTGCGTGTATTTGCTGCCTGGTGGGACTTTTCTTCTAAACGGTATAAACTTTGAACAGACATCAATCCCGATCCAGTGAGGCATTACTCTGACGGCATGATGACTTGTTCAAGTATCAAATTACAAACGATTAAGTTGGAGCGTTTTCCTATCTTGAGTTTTAAATTGGAGCGTTTTCCTATCTTGAGTTTTGTAAAAAACGTTGTGTTGAATAATTTTATTTATATAACTCACATATATAGCGCACAGTGCAATGGAAGTTCCATTGCACGCTGAATAGAACTTCCATTGCACGGTGTCACTGCTGCTGGTGGTGGCGCTGTTTTAAATCGAGATAAATTGAATATGATTGTTCTCAGCATGTTGAACAGTTTGCATAAATTTAAGATGATGAACTTGTCGAACTTTTAAACAGTTTTAACCTGAATATATTGGCTATTAAAAGTCAACCAATCACTGACACGGATTTGTTCAGGTGTTATATAAAACAAATAATGAATGTTTCACGTTCGTGCAATGGAAAGAATAATTTCATTCGGTGACAGATACATTTCATTCGGTACCATAGCACTCACAAACATTCATTATTTGTATAATCGTTAATATGGAAACCGAAAACAGACTCTTTCGTTATGGGTTCTCTGTATTTATTTGCTGTCTTTTGCAAAACATAACAACGATGAAAACACATGCAAACTGAAACGGTTTGATAGAGCACAAACTGTAAGAATTAGAGAACTGAAGAAAAGTAACTCACTTATTCTGTATCATCATGTGGGAAATTGTAAAAAGAACATGTGTCTGAACAGAACTTGAATCGTTGGAAATGAAATGTAGTTCACAGTATTTTCCGTACACATTATTGGCATACAACGCTGAATAGCAACATATGTGACCTGCCATAGCATAATGAGGAATAACCCCCACCTTTGACTTTGCACGTTATGTACATCATGTTAAAGCGCAAATCATTGCCTTTCCAATGATACCGAATTTATTTCTGTATCTTAATATATTTCAAAGATATGCCGCAGGAACTTCAATTGTGCCCTGCCAAATTTTGCTAATCTCATTTCGAGAATCGGCTTTGAAAAAAAAGACACGCATTGCACCGCCAATAGCAGTAAAAAACGTTCTTTAGTTTTTCCTCTTTTGTGGATATTTTTCCCCAACAAAAATGCATTGTGTGAATCTTGGATACCTTGGCTACTCAAAAATACAAAACAATAAATATAGATTTTGACACGATTTTTCTAGTATATCCGACATCGGGCGTCGATTACTCAAGAAAAGGTTTTGGGGGACATTCCTCATTTTGCCTCAGTAGGTCACATATGCCCTCTAAGATGGCCGCTAATCAGCCCCGCCGCGCCAGCTCTGTAAATTGTCCTCGATCTTTTGTGATCCCGTAGGTAAGTTTGTACAAGAAGTCCTTGCGGCCTACTTGTAACGGGTTGTATAAATATTTCTGGATATCAAGCATTTCGGACAAAAACTCGGGGGATTTCGCTCACAAAAACCGCCAACGTCTGGGTCTATTTTAGCATAGATGCGTGCATGGCCGGGATACATTTAGAAGTGGCATGGTGAAGTTGGCAAAAGTTTTAAGGCTGGTTTTGGGGAGGGGCATATTTCAAAAAAAAAAAAAATCGAACAGGCTATCTTTAGCTCTGGCAAATTGAAAAGAAAATTCTCCTTGAGGACTAGGTCCTGTAAAAAGGGAATATCAAAGACCTCAAAACCCATTACCACCATACAGGATAACGCTGGAAACTGTCTTACAGAAGAACAGGCCATTCTAAAGAGATGGACATCATGCTCAGCTCAAAAATCAGACTGATGCGCTCGTTGGTCATCTCCGTCTTCCTCTACGCCTGAGAGACCTGGACTCTAAGAGCCGACTTAGAGAGGAGAATACAGGCCACAGAAATGAGATGCTACAGAAAGATTCTTGGCATCTCCTATACAAAGATCACATCACCAACGAGGAGGTACGGACCAGAATCAGGCAAGTCATTTGATTCCACGAACATCTCCTGACCACTAGTGCATTGTGAAAAAGCGCAAACCAAAGTGGAATGGGCACATTTCACGGTAAGTGTACAAGGAGGAAGAAAGAGAGGCAGGCAGAGAAAGAGGTGAGAGGACAACATCTCAGAGTGGACAGGCCTGACGCTGAGTGACTCCCTGAGAAAGTCTGAGGATCGAGAGGGATGAAGGAAGCTGGTTGACAAGTCTTCAAGAGGTGCCCCCACGGTCAGAAGACTACGGGCTAGGTAACAGGTAACAAAACCCATTGACTCATTCATCATTCATCCCTCTTTTGGTTCAGTATAATTAATACAATTAAACCAACTGAAACAAATCTACGCAGAGATGGGATATCGAAAATGTTACACTTCTCATTCAATTTATTTCATCATTTGTTTAAACCTTTATTACGATCCGTGATAACATGAACATGTTACGGGAATATATTCAGTAATCCGGAGGGGGATAGCCAGTGAAGCGTAAGAGCTTTTACACGCAAAGTGCAAGTGATCCGTGATGCTCGCATCGCACACACCCACAAAACGTCCTTGCTGCCTTGTCAAAGTTGGTAGTTCGCATTTTCGCTCGCGCTCCGTGCTATCTCACTATTTAGCCACGCCGACGTCTTTTACTAGGCACGTCCAGGCTGTGCAACGCTTTCTTCAAGTGTCTCTGAAAGTTTGCTGGTGAGTAATTTTGTGACTCAAATCACATGGATTAAAAACTTTAGAAACTTTTGCTCAAGTTTGTGGCGAAATTAAAACACTACATCATGTATTATTATTTTGTGCATGGGATTATGGGCTTTATAGTACGTTCGTACCTCAGTCCATACTCAGTCTTTTTTTTATTCTTAAAAAGATTATGTTACTCCAAAATGCAACCTCAGGCAATCTTCTCTTAATTTATAGTGACCCATCTTATTATTATTATTTTTTCGAATAGTATATTGGGTACAAATGTATTAGAAGCAACCATGCGAATCGACACATTCACACAGGTGTATGGTGCGCTGGTGTACCGTAGCGAAGCTGCTGTTCCATGTGGCAAACCTACCCCCTACATTGGTCGTTACAGGTTTTCATTGCAACCTACATAACCATCCGGAAAGCTAGACCTTATTCACGCCAATTCGAGGTTCTGAGCTAAACCCTGAACTAATGGCAGGCATGATCCCTAGGATCATGACAATTACAAAAATCGTTGTTACGCCTATTGAAAAGAAGTGGTTTTTTTAGGGGGGAGGGGAGTTATGATTTCATCTTCTCAACACCAGTTTCTAGCCCAGACCGATGGGTTCACCATGGTATGCCTACTTAACATGTGGTTAAAATGGAGACATTTTATTTGAATTGTATGGGACTTTCTGTTTGTAGAACGACTACCAAAGAATCAACGTGCCCCTGTGCGAACTGAACACCAACCTCCCCAAAGCTAAAGTGGACGAGTCCTTTGTCAAGGAACTGTCTCAACTTATTGCCAGCACAGTCAACAAGCCAGAAAGGGTGAGCATTTCTTTCCTGGGTTGACATTTTAAACTGTTGTAAAATTCATAAATTGCAAAGCTTTCAAAACTTAAAATGTTGGGCTTCAATTTCTGCAAAGTAGTGGCAGCAAGTCAGTGTAGACATGGGCGTCGCGAGGGGGGGCAAGGGGGGGCACTTGCCCCCCCCCCCCTGGAAACGAAAAAAAAAAAAAAAAAAAAAAAGGAGGAAAAAAAAGGAAAGAAAAGAAAAGAAAAAGAAGCGAGAAGACAAAGTGGTGTAAATTTAACGGGGGGGGGGGGGGGGATGTCCCTGCCCCTCTAAAACTGATAAATCGAGAATGTGTTGAGAAATACAAGCATTTTTTGGCCAAAATTTTTTTTGCCCCCCTCTAGAAAAAATCCTGGCGACGCCCATGAGTGTAGAGTGTATTAAGACCAAAGCAATTCAATGTGTACAAACTTTTGACCAATCTGAAGATGTTTTCTCATGAGCCTGCCAAAACAGTGAAATAAGTTTGGAGATAGTTGGGAAAGAATTCCATATACGTATGCCACTACTGTTTCCCTGCAATGACTTACCAGCCATCATATCAGAAAGCAGTAGTTAAAAAGTGAAGTATAAAGGCAGGGAAAATATTGAAGCATTTAGTGAGAAAACACTTTTCCAGACCAGTCTCGATCATAGGATTTGTACACAGGGTGTCAAGTGACTTCCGTGTATGAAATTCCTCCCCCCCCCACCCCCCCCCCCCCCCCTTTGCATTCAACAGGCATGTACAATTTTTTTTTGTTTTTTTTGTATTCAGTATGAATGCATACAAAAGCGCACTCTGGGTCTCTCTCTCTTGAACAAGAACATACATGTACATGCACTTCCTAAAAGACTGCAAAGCCAAGAATCTAGGAACGGCAAACTTGTTTATTTCTGTTTCCCAGTGCCCCGAGTATCACTCTTATCTATGGAGCAAGTTTCTTGTATAATGTCTGATATGTCTGGACATGCAGATATATGCAAGCTGCGCGCCAGCCAATCGGAGTTGACTTTACTAAATCGTGACATCATTTCATTCCTAAATCAGGACTAAATGGTTTGATTGGTCAATTCGAATGCAGTGTTATGTAATACAACAGTCGGGCGCGTTGAGGTAACATGATACAGAGCGCGTGACACAATTGCATGGTCAGTGCTCATGCACTGATTGGTCAAATTCTAGGAGGTCAAGAGGCGGGGTCTTGCCTAATTAATCAGCGAATCTGTTCATATGTAATAGACCGTGGCTTTTGTCACGGTCTATTACATAGACCAAGTGCTAGCTGGATGACTGAGAAAAATATCGCCAATCTCCTCAACTTTTCCATAAATACTATGTGAGAACATGGTTTAACATGCATTGATGATGTCATAGGGAGTGACCCTGCGGGTGAACCCTGATCAAGTCATGATGAAAGAAGGGACACTAGACCCAGTGGTTACCATGACAGACACCGGGTTCCTCAGTCAACACTTCACGGATGCTATGAGGGAGAAATGGATGACGACACTCACACCTTTCCTGTCAGAGAAGCTAGGCATCACTGACCACGGCAGGTATAAAGACAAATTTTGAAAATACGAAGCAGTGATGGTGTCAATGTCATATGCACATTGTTTTACACTGGTTACAATGTCTAGTATGAACATCAGATGAGTACAGTCTCGAAACATTTTTTTTGTCCCAACGTTTATGATGGTTTATCTTTTTCATTAACTGACAGAACTCAACCCATCAAACCCCAACGGCATGTTTTGTTGGAATCTGTCAGAATGGGTACAGTACCCCTAAGCTGACATTTACATTGGGTTGGCACACCTCCAGAATCAAAGTCAGAAATATATGTGTGCATATGGTGTTGGAATTTGCCAGGATGGGTATGGTTCCTAGTAAATCAAGCTAGGGAGTTAGGGTTAAGGCTTTTTTTTATGCTAGTGAAAAGTGGCATCTTCATGCTCTGCCACTCTCTTCTTGCATTCAAAAAAGTGGCTGATAATGTAGTCCAAGTTGGACGCCCTTCTTCATTGCATCACGACTGACTTTCGTTTTCAGTTGGTACTGTAAGCCTCGCAAATTGTTTCCCTGTAATCAGAACAAACTTTGACATAATGTTACGAAGAGTAACCGCATGCTTACAGTTTTAAATACGCAACCAATGTTTGTTAAAAATTTGTTGGTGTGTAATTTTAATCAAACTTCATCTGAATGTCACGTGATCCACAAGGTCAAAGTAAAGGTCAAAAGGTCATCATACTTCAAGTTGCTCCGACATCAAATATAATGGTAAATTTAATCTAATTTATTTGTGTGTTTTATTGATCTCTTTGACTGAATCGTCGTCGTGTTCCATTCCATTGAGCCAACGCATTTTGGGTTCTCCGGCACGCTTGCCAGCACACTGCTTTAAAGAAAAATCTTAATAACTCGGTTTAATTGGGGTATATTAAAATGCAGGGTTTTCTGTGGGTTAAATTTTGGTAAAATTGGATTTTGTTATTGCGTTCTATACGTATTTTGTATATTTTTGCACAAAATGTCCATATGTCGTGGGCAGATTATAGGCATTAGAATAATTCCAACTTAGGCCTGTTGTGCATATTTTTCTACTCTGATATATATTTTTTTACATTATTAAAATAGAACAAGACAAGGCTTAAAATAGAACAAGACAAGGCACGCCTAAATGTACATAAGATTAAAATTATTTGGTGTATGGCAAAGATATGTTACACCCCAACCATAGCATTGTCCCAAGTTCCAACATTATATAGCTGGGATGATCCCAACCGTTGAGACTGTCCCAACTATGGACGAATTAGGCAACCATTTTCTGCAGTGGCACCAGGCTCACTCGGGTAGTACGCACGCACTTCAGGAACCAATAGGGTTCCAAAATGCGCGCGCGTCTCGTGTTCAAGAAGGCACGCAGCATGGCGTGGCACCACCGCAAAAATGGCTTGTAATTTTGTTCGGCTTATTACACTTTAGCTAGGGCCATTGCTATGGTTGGGGCAAAACAAATACATGTATGTGTGGAGTTTTGTAAAATCAAATTTGTTGACTATTTTTATATTTTCAATAAAGAAAATAGAAAACAAAGACAAACTTCTCGGCTAATGGTTCTTTGTATTTATTTGCTGTTTCGTGCAAAATACAATAGCTATAAACATTCCACATGCAAGCTGTAATGGAGTTCAATAGAGCACAAATTAGGTATGGAAGAAATGAAAAATAGTGAAAAAAATAAGACTAATAATTTTGTAGCATGTGCAAGAAGAAAATGAGCCAAACAGATCTTGACTTATTACAATGAAATGTAATTGGCAGTATTTTTTCCTGTACAGATTATGTTTGACAATTTTCATTTTTCTTCACGCCTGCAAATTTCAGAATCAAAACTGACAATAGTTCCACTCCATTTTCCTGCCTCAGATTATAAAACCAATCATTTCTTTATAGAAAAAAAGAATTTCAGTGGAAACATCTATACAAAATTTTATACAAATCTATGATAAATGGATTCATTAGTACTTCCAGATTATTGCGATATATTTTTAGTCTACCACAACTGATGTCACACATTGATTTTTCAAGGTTTTGGGGATATTAATCATCTATCGTTTTAAGACGGAAACATTTATTGGTAGACTGTCTAATTTGGGAAAACTTTTATCCACAATTAATATCAGCAACAACACAGCACTCTAGTATGGTTTCTATTGAGATCGATACATTTGAAGACAGATCACTCTACAAGAATGCACAATTTTGCATGTATCTCAGCCGAGCTATAATAATATGACTTTGTCAAGAGAAGACCTGATTATATTTAAGAAATCTGGTACTACCATCAAAGTTACTGTAAACACCTTCGGTAATCAAAGATAATATTTTGAGCGTTAAGCTAAGCAGCAATTTGATGATAGATCAATAACTAAAGGTACTGGAGAATATTGAAACTTTGTCGCTAGTTTTGAAGTGAGACAATTAAGAATTGTTGCTTTGAAATAGATATAAATCCTGCAGATAAGCAGAATTTACACCTTATGTATTGGCACATACACAGGTAACCACAAAGTTCGTAATCCTTCAAATAACTGTCGTAATTTGAGAGCCAACTTAACACCACATCTGCATGAGAGACAAACTGTACACTATGTCAGGGCTCCGCATCTGACAAAAGTTTCATCAAGTTAAATTTGTTTCTATATTTCAAAATGGCAGTGCGAAGATGATGAATTTTCCTGCTAAATTGTTGAAATACTGTACAGCAAAACCCAGTTTCTGGAATCCAAATCTTGCTTTTATTGTATTTGATGAGTTGTTCTTTGAAATTCCAAATATCTCTATAATTCACAAGGAGTTCTAAACAAAATGACGTATCTTTCAAAAACTTCCGACTTTTTTTAAATTGTGAGGCGTTCCTGCAAAATGAGAAGGCACAGGTCGTAGTAGAGAAATATGCAAAATACCTAATGGGGGTGATTATTCCCCCCCCCCTCGATTTTAAGATTTATTGATATTTGTAATCTTTGATATGTCTACAATACATACTTGAAAGAACCTGTATGGAATTAAATTGTTTTTAAAGGTAAATGAATTGGCATCTTTCATTTTCTGGAATACAAAACTCGAAAGTTTGATGTTTTTTTTCCCTCAATATTTTACTTGTTTGACATGTTGATAAATGTAATCATCAAAACAGCCAAAAATCGTCAACAGAATGTCCAATTGAAGCGCAACAAACATTATTGTAAGGAGAATTTTATTCTGTTCTCCAACACTAGCAAACCCTCGTATCGAGCTCTGCCCAGTTCGGTCTCATTTTGCCAGAGCGCCTCACATATACATGTATCATAGTCAGTTTATTTTTCCTGTATGTCCATACTGAATTTTTTTTCAATCCCTAAAGACACAATCTTTACCACTGCATATGTTTTAAGCTCACCAAACAAGGGGAATATTTCCAACACAAATGAATGGTAGAAATTTCCCACACAAGGAGTGCTATTCTATGAACACAATCTGAATGTTGAAGCTTTTTGTTACACTATGATTTTCCAGTATTTGGCTTAAACATTATAATTTAGGTTAGGAAGCTCACCACACGAGGGGGCTATTTCAACCACATCCTAAATAACTATTTTGATCATACGATGCTAATCACGACAATTATTTTCAATGATCCTTATTACTCAAAGAAGAAATACAGAAAGACAAGATTACATTAAAGGTGCCGTTCAAATAGACATTCATTCTTCTTTAGCCAATCAAAACCCTGCATCGTGAAATACGAGATGATTATTTAAACTGAGATGTTCATACCTTGACTGTCTTTATGGGATTACTCGGTCCAGAAATGCACACTTTAGCGTTACTTGTTTCTGCCTGGTGGTGTGATGGTGGATTTTAATCTGAGGCTCATCATGTGAGGGCGCTGTTTAGTATTGGTGGTCGGCTACGAACAGCGACTTGCCTCCTGCAGCACCCGTGGCTCCGCCCCCATACTTGCCCTGGCTGGCTGCGCCATTAGCCTGAAGACAAAAAACATCAATTAAGCGTAAAGGTTCCTGAATTCACCGAAAATCCATAAACTGTGTTACATAGCAGTCCTTAGACCATCAAAACCCTGTTATAAATAGGTGTTATAAATAAGATTATAACACTTTAATAACCCACAGATTCTGTAAAATAATATATAATAAATATATATAATGATTCTGTATCTTGATTGGCCGAAAGCAAGTCACGTGGCATTACCTTTTTTGCCATCTTGCTGTGCAAGGCCAAAAGTACTAGACCTGTAGCAACCAAGGTACTATACCCATAGCAACCAAGGTACTATGCGCATTGTGCGTTACGCGTATTGTTCCCAAGCGTTAGCGCTACAGAGCTGGGTTCAAACATATTGTGAAGGAATAGTTTGGAAAAGTGCAAGTTAATTTTCAACTAATTTTGCATTTAAAAAGAAGTAAATTTTAATTGTATTCAGAATAAATTAATCAGTTATCGCTTAAAATCAAGCAGAATCTGTGGGGGAGGTGTTATAAAACAAATATTGAATGCTTTATCTGGTGGTGAAGTAAAACTAGCCTCCCTCGGTGATCCATGGAGCATTCTATATTCCCTCGGCTTCGCCTCGGGAAAATAGAATGTCCATGGATCACCTCGGGAGGCTAGTTTTACTACACCACTCGAAGCAGTCAATATTTGTATACTATGAGCTACGTAGTTCATGCCTGACCTGAGCTCGTCTGAGCAGCTCATCCTGGGCCGCCTTGACATTCTCAGGTTTGCCCTTCCAGGCCTGCAGCACGCTGGCTTGGAGAGCGCGGCCGTAGGAGAAGGTCAGAGCCCAGGGTTTCTTGCCTGGGCAAGCATTGATGGCGTTCAGGTGGAGTGATGCCTCCTCCTCAGATTGCCCACCAGACAGGAACGTCACGCCTATGAAAAACAACAAACAAAATGGAGCTTTACCTACTTCAGAAGAGATGCAAAAACTACCTAGGATAAAAATGAGGGTGTAATTCATGTCCAAATGTGATGGTGCTTCCTTGTCTGAGACACCGGGTACTGCTCGGGTTCAAAATACAGTCGACTCTCGTTAACACATACTCGTTCGGACCTAACCAAATTGTTGGTTATATCCCAATTTTGTATTAAGAGGAACATCGGTCCAGTTCATTGTGCACATAAATGCAGTCGGGACCAAGGCTTTGTGTTTGC